TGAGGTAAGAGGGAGGAAGCCAGGCCTTCTTTCCCCCCCCTGCAGCTGTGGGACGCTTGGGACAGTGCATAACTGAACCGAGCTGCCTGTGGCCAAGGCTAGAGGGCTTTTCCCCCCCACTGCATTTAGGTTGGGGGGGTGGATTTTGAGGCTCAGCATTAAAGCAGAGCCAAGTGGACAGGCTGATAAATCAGCTTGGGGCTCGGGAAAGGAATCCCAAGTGAAATTGGAGACAGACCCCAGAGAGAGAGAGAGGGGGGCCCAGAGGATGTCTCTGCCGTGAACTAAAATGCAAGACAAGTGAAAACTCGAGGAGAAATCAACATTCCAGGACGTGGACGCTTGATAAGCTAAACTACACTGCAGCAACCTACAAACCCAGGTATGAAGCAGAGAGAGAGAAATCACAGAGCAGAAGAGCAAGGACTCAAAGCTATCTTCTTGGACTTCATGAGGAGGAGAGACTGCAACAAACAACTAGAACTTGGTGAGGGGGGAGTGTTCAGGAGCCCAGAACACTCCACGGCAGACTGTGTTACGTATCAGCCTTGAAAAGCTGCTTCTGGGCTAAAGTAGTTAAAAGGAGGGGCTTGAAAGGACTGACTGATAGAAATGTAATATATATATAGTTGCCTTTAGTTTGTACAGTATATTTATTTGTGTAAATAAATGTATATACTTCCCCTTCCCCTATAGAAGCCTCTGACCTGAAAGTTTCTTTCCGGTGTTGAGATAAATTGTGGGAAGCGGTGGGGGGAAACCTGGAAATTGGACTTTGGATTTCTAATGTGACTCAAACTGCCACAGCCAAGCACAGCACCAACACTGGGACATTCCTTCCTTAGCTGAGGGCAAGAGCCTGGGAGGGGACCCAAGCAGGCCAGCTGAGCCCAACTGACCACAGGGACATTGCAGACCATGGGAGGTCAGCTCAGCTATAAAAGCTGAGGCACGGAGCAGGAGGGGGGCATTCACTGTCCGATGGCTGCCTGCTGAGGAACCCTCACGGGTACCCAGCCAGCAGAAAATGTCAACACTGCTGAATGGGACAAGGGATCCGAGATCCTGCTGAAAGCCCAAAATTCAGACAATCCTCTGCCACCTCCCAGCTCTGGTGTGACCCTTCCAAAGCCCAAAGGGGCTCCAGGAGAGCAGGAGAGGGACTTGGGACAAGGGATGGAGTGCCAGGACACAGGGAATGGCTTCTCACTGCCAGAGGGCAGAGAGAGATGGGAGATGGGAAGGAATTCCTGGCTGGGAGGGAGGGGAGGGACTGGGCTGGAATTCCCAGAGAAGCTGTGGCTGCCCCTGGATCCCTGGGAGTGTCCAAGGCCAGGTTGGAGCAACCTGGGATAGTGGGAGGTGTCCTTTCCCACGGTGGGGGGTGGCACTGGGTTATTTGGAAGGTCCCTTCCCACCCAAACCATCCCATGATCTCGGGACATCCCCATCCTCTCGGGAAGCCCCAACCCGGCAAAGTGTCATTTCCCAGCTCAGGCACCTCAGAGCTCAGTTCTCTTCTGGGTGCTGGAAGATCCACATTTTCCCTGTGATCAGAGTCACACAATCATAGAATCAAAGAATCACAAAATCATAGAATGATACAATGAGTCACAGAATCAAACAATCACACAATCACACAATCACAGTCACACAATCACAGAATGAAAGAATAACAGAATCGTAGAATGACACGATCACAGAGTCACAGAGCCACAGAATTACACAATCACACAATCTCAGTCACACAATCACACAATACAGAGTCACACAATCACAGAATCACGTAATCACACAATGACAAAATCACACAGTGACAGAGTCACAGAATCACACAGAGAGTCACAGACTCACACAATTACAAAGTCATGGAATGACACAATCACACAGTCAAACAATCACATAAACACAGAGTCACACAATCACAGAATCACACAATCACAGAGTCACAGAATCACACAATCACAGTCACAGACTCACACAATTACACAGTCATGGAATGACACAATCACACAGTCAAACAATCACAGAATCACAGAGTCACACAATCACAGAATGTCACAATGAAACAATCACAGAGTCAGAGTCACAGAATCACACAATCACAGAATCACAGTCACACAATCACACAATCACTTGATTCCATGGAGTTCTGAGGAGTCACAGTGGCCCTTTGGTTCCATGAGGCTCCACATGTCACAATGGCCCCTTGTCCGTGAGATTCCACAGTGTCCCCACATTCCTTTGGTTCCATGGGGTCCTGCACTGTCCCAGTGCCACTTGATTGCACAGGTCACACAGAATCCCAATGGGCCCTTGAGTTCAGGAGGTTCCACTGTGTCCCAGGGTCCCTTGGATTCCAGGAGGCCTGGTGCTGTCACAGTGGCCCCTTGACTCAAGGACATTGCCCTGAGTCACAATGGCCCATTCCAGAGGTTCTGCAGTTTCCCAGGGTTTCTTTGTTTCCATGAGACCCTGCAGTGTCACAGTGCCCCCTTGGTTCCACGAGGTTCCAAAATGATTCAGCATTCAGCATTCCTGAGGCCCTGTATTGTCACAATGGCCCTTCTTATCCCAAGAGCTTCCCAAATGTCTCAGAGTTCCTTCTGTTCCATGAGGCCCCAGATGCCACAGTGGCCCCATGGCTCCAGGAGATTCCACAGTGTCCCTGT